AGTTCGTTTTACAAAATAATGATTTTGATAAAAATGTCTGTGTTCGTTGTCTTTAACAGAGTAGCAGAATAATGTCTGTTTCTTTTTTGTTTTGTATAGTTGTAAAATGAAAAGGGCGAGAAATTTAAGTTGAAAAAAAAAAGAGTATGAATGTGGAATAAAGATAAAAAAGGAAATGTACTTATGAATTGTTTTGGAGTCAGTTGTAAATTTGTTGTTGTTGTTGTTGTTTCCTTCCACCACCACTTTCGGGTTGAGTCAGTGATGGAATTTTACTGTCAATCTTCTGTGATCTTTTTGCGCCTTCTCTGACTGACTGACTGGCGACTGACTTGAAAACTACGTATTTATTGTTGACTTTTTTCACACTGGCTCGTTATCTTTTTTTTTTTTTTTTGGTTTAGTAAATCGCCTCCTTTCATTGGTCAGAAAATTAATTTCACACCTTATTGTGAAATCTTTTTTTGGTCGTTTTGATCCGATTTTGCGGGTGTGCAAATCTACTTTGTGTTTTTTAGTCATTTGTTGGAATATAGGATTTGTATCCTATACTGGGCATTTTTTGCAAAAATGTGTTTATCGTCATTTTACGGTAAGTCGCAAATATCTCGGTAGATATCACACTATAGTAGCACCAAACAGTAAAACCATTTATTGTTTTCCTGGGCATTTTTCAGCAAAAATGTGTTTATCGTCATTTTACAGTAAGTCGCTAATGTCTCGGTAGATATCACACTATAGTAGCACAAACAGTAAACCATTCATTGTTCTTCCTGAGCATTTTTCAGATATAATGAATCCATTATCATTTTACGGTAAGTCACATAAAAAAAAGATAGATATCATACTATATTAGCACCAATGTAAACATTTTCTCTCCTGAGGCAGAGCGCTTTTTTTCATGGACCTTGCATCTCCACGTGTGACCGAAACTTGCTGGGTGATCGGTTATTTTTATCTAGTCACCACCTCTAGAACTTTTACCATATTCTATAATGATGATTATGATACAGACAAAAACGTTGCAGGCCTTTTCGCTTTTCTATCGTTATTTTGATGGAAAATTTTGTGTTATATTCAATAATCTCTAGTTCCAACCTTCACAACTAAATCCAATGTGCCACATACACTAGAATGAAACATTGCCACCATTCGAAGTATTCCATTATTAAGAAGAAGTTCCATTCGCCAGCTTCTTTTAAGAACTGCTACGTTTTATGGAACAGTTTCTTCACCTCTTTAAGTCTAGAGTCTACTGTTATTTTTTCTACATATCCTCATAATATGAACTTCTTGCCTTCTCTTACGTTTATCCAGTAATCCTTATTTTGAATGCTTCTCGGACGTTTGTATTCGTTGAGTAATTAGTAAAAACACATTAAGTTATTACTGACTGGAAAATTTTCGGAACTGGATGCCTGCAAAGTCAGACATAGCTTTTTATCTAAAACAGTCTATTGCTTATCTTCCATTCAGCTTAAAGTTAATCGTAATTCAGAGTTAATCTTATTCCGTCCTAGGCATGACGATAAACACATCCGTGGTCAGTAAGACGATAAACTACGTCCGACAGCAAGGCCCTATGATAAGGAGGTTTGGAGGAACATGGAACCACCTCTTAATTGTTGGTGTTGTTGGGTCCACCCCTGACCCGGGGTGGTGGCACTTGTTAGGGTCCCAGCTATGGGCAAACATTTAGCCCCTAAACTGGGGTCAAAAACACCATGAAAGTGTAAAAATAGGTTTTAATACCAGCAACAAATTTTTGAGGAAACATTTAACCAGTAATACATTATTACCAGCAATACATTTTGGAAGAAAAAAATATTACCAGCAATACATTTTTGAAAACTATGACCAGCAGTAAAAATCTTGTCGGCTTTAAATAACCAATTGAGGTTGATATACCGTAAAACAAAACAAACCAAACCAGTTAATTTATTTTACTAGAAGTTTAATTCTTTTTTTCTTGTTCGCTATTTGTTGAGTTTATTAATCCGCTTGTAGGGTTAACTTTTTTTTCCTAGACTTTTAATCTGGAGAGCGCTTATGAATACGCAAAGTTAGTTTATGCGATTTTCTCTAGATGTTTTGTGATTTTTTTATGTGGAGTTTCATTCCGTATTCTTTCGCTTTGGGTACTTTTTTTATATATGTTTTAGTTATGATTTCTTTGAAAGTTTTAGTCTGTATGGCTTTCTTTTAGTTTTATCGGCGGGGTTGAAGGCGTTAGATGAATTATTTAAATTTTTTATGTCTTTTTTAATTTAATTTTGATTTGTGTACATTATAAGATTTTATTTCGATTATGTTAGGCCTTCTAAACATTATCTTATAATGCTATATTATACCAATTCTTTTCAAATAGGGTCAATCAAAATGAGGTCGTAAATTTATCTCGAGTAGTTTGTAACATTAATGATATTTTTACCAGGCACAGGGATCCGTCCCTGTGCTGGTGATGTCGCGGTAAGACTAGCTTGAACCGGCTCTGACCAGCTATGAAAAAACCAAGACCAGCTATGACTAGTTATGACCAGCTAAGATCAGCTTGGACCAGCGGCCCGAGGAAAACACTCTGGTTCCCACGTTAAAAACTGACCTTGTGCAACAACCTGACTCAGTGGGGGGGTCAAGTAAATCTCAAACTTTCCGGGCACAGGGGTCCGTCCCTGCGCTTAGAAGTACCACGGTTATTTTTAATTTGGACCGGCTATGATCATTTTATGACTAATTAGAACAGCTCTGACCAGCTAAGACCGGCGGCTCGAGGAATACAGTTCTGGTCCCCATTTTTAAAAACCTCTCTTGTGTCACAACCTGACTTAGTGACATGATAAAACAAATAGGGCCAATCAAAAGGGCATAAAAACATATTTATAAAAACAAATTGACAGGATCGACAATAGATTTCCCTGCAACGTAGATAAATGTTAATAGATGGTTTTCAGTAAGAAAGGGTCCAAACTTGAGTAACGTTTCTGAGTTTTCAGGTATCGATGAAGGGGTAAAAGTTAATTCTGGCATCTACTCCAAGTTAAAACATGTTATTTTAACGAGGTTATGCAATTTTAACATCCTACCTCTAGTTTTTCATTTTCCATCTCTTTCCCTCCCATTTATTGTTTCTCCATATTAATTTCGCAGTCTATGAGTTTCTCATTTGTTTAGACAGGAAGATTTGTTTTTTCCGAACTCACCTGTGTCAGCTCTTTTCTCTGTTTATGATTTTGGTGGGTCATTTTTAAATCTCTTTTTTTATTTTATTCAAACTTGGGGTATTTCTGTCCCACTTCCCAATAATTGTGTGTATTTATTGAATTGGTATTTTATTAGAATCATCACCTCTTCTATTTTCAAACGGAAATGGTATAGTCCATAAAAATAATGGCGGATATTTTTGTTTTAAATCCGTAAGTTTTGGTATGTTATATTTCGTAAAATGTACGTATTTCATCTTTCAAGTTTTTTTGGGGGAGGGGGGGTTAGGATAGGAATACCATTAACGTAAGAAAAAAGTGTAATATTCAGTTAGTCACATATGTATTTGGTGACCAAACAAAATTTCGTTTTGCTTGACTGAAACTATAACGTCTGTATTCTTTTTTCTCGAATATTGCGCTTTTCAAATTATTTCTTCCGTTCATCACGGAATTGTGAAAGGCACATAGAGCAGTTCTTTCTTCACAGAGCGACAATTATTCTGGAAATCTTGGGATTACGACGCTATGTGAAAGATGGCAGAAGTTACTGAATAAAAATAAATATGGACTTTAACATAATTTACATTTAAAATTTTAAATGTTTCCATTTTTTTTTTTTTTAACCTTCATTGGCCAACCCAGTATTGGTTTACCATCAACCCGATTTCTAGATGCACAGAGAAACCTGTATTCGGATATAAAATTAACGTCTCTAAACAATCTTATTATAGTGATTTTCCAAGCGTAGCTTAGATGTGGCACAAATTTGAAAGTAGGGCGCATCTAGTGAGAAAAAAACATTTCTATACAGTCATAACTGTTTTTGTTTTATTTTCACAAGCACAACCATTACACACGCGGAGGTGCCCAAACAATTCTATTATAACTGTAAAGAAGAACCCTTATTTAGATCGAGATAAAATTGTTACGTGGATAGGTCAATCGATCATAAAAAATGGACTATTCCGTTTTGATCACGTGAAAAGAGGGAAAAGACGCTAGTTTGGTGTGGAAAAATAAAAGAAAGCAGAGCAGATAGTGTTTAACGACTGTTTCAGTAAAATGGAAAAAAGTTGTTAATTTCAAATCTTTTCATTTGTACCCCTTACATTTAGCCATAACGACCAGTTTTATATTTATAATAGTTATTGCAATATTTTGTTAGTCGTTAAGCTCGAATATTTAACGATGCTATGGGGAATTTCCTACGGATATCCTATTGTTCCAAAAAGTCGCCATGAGCTTTCTCAATCATTAACTTAGTCAAGATTCATGATAAAATTAAAATCGGAAAACCGCGAAATTTTAAACAGGTTAAAACTAGTAAAAAAAAAAAATAAAATAAAATTTTTTCTTTTTCGATTTTTCTCTAGCACTTAAACCCGTTAAATTGTTTATTCCAACGGACAGGAAGATGTTCATATACAGTGTAACCCGGATATAAGAGAGTTGTCGGGACCGGAGAAGAAGTTTTATATCCGGGCGAAACTCATTATTTTATATACATTAACACAGGCTCGAATTAAGAAAATTTCTTATAGAGATTTAAATACATTAACACATAATTTGGGACCTTATTTTATTTTATATTTTTTTTTTTTGTATTGAAAAAATACACGAATTCGTAAAAAAATAATAACTTTCAAAATACTCGTTAATGTTTCAGATAGCACGCTTCCCAGAAAAACGAGTATTTCTCTATTCTCATGATAGACATTCTGTTGTCCGCAAGAATATTTTATACTCTAATATATATATATATATATATATATAAGATCTGCCAGGCTGTAATCAGTATTAAAGAAAGAAAGGGAAAATATGAAAGAAAAAGAAAAGAAAAAAGAAAAGAAAGAAAGAAAGAAAGAAAGAAAGAAAGAAAGAAAAGAAAGAAAGAAAGAAAGATCTGAAAGGCTGTAAAAAAAGAAAGAAATTAAGAAAGAAAGAAAGAAAAAGGGAAAAAAGAAAGAAAGAATGGCCAAAAAAAGTATTAAGAAAGAAAGGGAAAAATATGGAAAGAAAGAAAGAAAGAAAGAAAGAAAAAAAAGAAAGAAAGAAAAAAGAAAAGAAAAGAAAGTAAAGATAAGAAAGAAAGAAAATATGAAAGAAAGAAAGAAAGAAAAAAGAAAGAAAGAAATAAAAGAAAGAAAAAGAAAGAAAGGGAAAAAAGACTGCAATCAGTATTAAGAAAAGAAAGGGGAAAGAAAGAAAGAAAAGAAAGAAAGAAAGAAAGAAATGGAAAGAAAGAAAGATCTGCCAGGCTGTAATCAGTATTAAGAAAGAAAGGGAAAATATGGAAAGAAAGAAAGAAAGAAAGAAAGAAAGAAAGAAAGAAAGAAAGAAAGAAAGAAAAGAAAGAAAGATCTGAAAGGCTGAAAATATCAGAAAGAAAGAAAGGAAAAAGTAAAGAAAGAAAGAAAGAAAGATCTGAAAAGTATTAAGAAAAGAAAGGAAAAATCCAAAAGAAAGAAAAAAAAAAAGAAAGAAAGAAAGAAAGAAAGAAAGAAAGAAAGAAAGAATCTGCCAGGCTGTAATCAGTATTAAGAAAGAAAGGGAAAATGGAAAGAAAGAAAGAAAGAAAGAAAGAATGAAAGAAAGAAAGAAAGAAAGAAAGAAAAGAAAGAAAGAAAGAAAGAAAAAGAAAAGAAAGAAAGAAAGAAAGAAAAGAAAGAAAGAAAGAAAGAAAGAAAGATCTGCCAGGCTGTAATCAGTATTAAGAAAGCAAGGGAAAATATGGAAAGAAAGAAAGAAAGAAAGAAAGAAAGAGAAAAGATGACACATTTTAAGAAAGAAAGAAAGAAAGAAGGGAAAATATGAGAATTTATGATAAAGAAAGAAAGGGGAAGATGAGAATTTATAAAGAAAAAAAGAAAGAAAGAATGCAAGAAACAAACAAACAAAGAAACAATTTGAGAATTTATAAAAGAAAGGGAAAAGATGAGAAGTTATAAGAATGAAAGAAAGAAAGTTGAGAATATATCTGAAAGAGAGAAAGAAAGACAAAATGAAAGAGAAAATATGAGAATTCATAAGAAAGAAAGAATATAGTCAGAAAGAGTGAAAGATAATTAGAAAACTTTAGTGAGGAGAAAAGAACAATAAAATAATGGAATTCCGGAAGATTGTTTGTTCAACTCTAGAAAACAGAAGATGGTGATTGGCGTTGCATTTAAATCAGGAAAATGTTTTATTGCAACTTTACGGTCACGTATCCCAACCAAGATATACAACGTATCTGCAACGTTGTAAGAATATTCCGTGTTCGCTGGGTAGTTGACAACCAACTGAAGAGAAAGAAAACTCCGAATCATAATAAATAATAAATCCACAGAAGCAATTGATTATTATAAATTGTAACAGTTTTTTTTTTTTCAAAGTATCTTGAATTTCAACCACAAAGCAAGAAAGGTTGGACGTAAAAATACAGAACGGCTTCAGCAGAAGTAAAAAAGAAAATGCAGCGGAGGAAGCAATTTTCACAATACGGAGGTTTAAAATTCCAAGTTTTAGCTTCATGAGATAATATTCTAGAGGATTTCAGCGTTAGTTTCTGAATCTGTTGACGTAGTGGTTGTTACTTTAGTCCTTGAACCGGTTCTTACAAATCTAAACTCAGTGAAGGATAGGCGAGCAATAACCAGGATTCTAAAACAGTTGCGTACTGGACATTTGCGTTCAGGACAATTGCGTACCAAAAATGGCGTTCCTAGACATTTGCGTCCCGGGAGACAAATGCGTATCTCTGATAAAATTTTGAAGTTTTAAAGATAATATAATTTTTTAAAAAATTAAAAACGATTAAAAGGAATAAGTTTTTTAAAAAATTAATAGTTTATTTTGTTTAAAATGCAATGGCATATTAACAGTGTTGCAAGATCGCTCTACACATCGCCAGTAAGTTTTGTTTCATCGGCGTTTTTCTTATGATAGTGGAAGCTGTAATTTTTCTTGTCCATATATAATCTATAAAACCCAGAATCTATTAGATGTTTGTGGTACGCACTACTGGAATAAACTGAAACTGCTAGCTTAATTTTCTCTTCCTTTAAAAAAAGAAATTTTTCTGTCGTTTTTTTTATTTATGGTAACTACCTTTCTGCTTGTTTTGAGTAATTAAAGGTATTGGTGTTCAAATTTCTATATTAAAGAACTCTTTAAAAAAAAACGGTAACTTCAAAAAAATATCAGTTACGCAATTATCAAGGACGATTTTGTCTTGGGACGCAAAATGTCCAGGGACGCAATTGTCTGGTATGCAGTAGTCCGGGACGCAAATCTCCAGTACACAACTGTCCGTTCATCAGGTAGTACTAAAAAGACAAGAAACGATGAACAGATTATCAAGGACAATCTGTCAGGATTCCATTCGAAATTCACTAAAGGTTACACAGATCGACGGACACCTAAAGACCGGCAGGCTCAACTGTCGAAACCTTTGAATGTGGACACTAATCCGAATGAAAACAATATATGTCATAATAACTCCTTGTCCAATAAATTCAGACAGAAGTAGATTATTGGATATTATAATGTTTAAAAGAACTTCGAGCACCAACTGATTATGTGATATCTTACTTTCCTATACACTATCGGTTGGGAATCAAGAATATTCGAAATATATCCTTATGTAAGTAAAAACATTGAAAGGGACCATCAGTTTACGGTATGTGGGGATGGCTACCTGTTTAACTTTCCTTAAGACCAAAACTATAGCTATCTTTTCGATTCTCCTGTCAACAAAACCTATGTCTTCCCTTATGATTCTCGTGCAAACAAAACCTATGTCTGCCTTTTCGACATCGTGCCAACCAAACCTATGTCCATCTTTCTGAGTTTCGTACAAACCACACCTATGTCTACCTGATTTCATCTTGTAGAAACCAAAACTATACCCACCTTTTTGGCCCTTGTGGAAATCAAACCTATGTCTACCTGCTTTACTCTTGCAGAAATCAAACCTATGCCCACTTTTTTGGTCCTCGTAGAAATCAAACCTATGTCTACCTGCTTTACTCTTGAAGAAATCAAACCTATGCCCACTTTTTTGGACCTCGTGGAAATCAATCCTATGATTTCGTTTCTATTGTACTATATTAAATAACCTAGAAATGGTTGATGTACCGGAAAGAAAAACAACACTCTAACGACAATTTTGAGAGAAAAAATAAAGAATGTTTTACTCGGGGGTGGGGGGAGATACGTTTGGCTCAGTTAACCTCACCACAAATAACTTCTTTCACATAAGTCAATTCTAACCAACAACAATATACACATTGTATGGATTTATTTACTGAAGGATATTGCCGTGTGTAACATTATAGTATAATATCGTTGACTTTAGCAGGTGCGGTATAAATACAAAAGTTTCGGGTCCAAAATACTGAAACCAATTTTGAGCTTGCGTCGCCCTGAAGGTAACTGTGTGCATCGAACACCAGTCTTTGTGAATATTCATTTTAAGTGATGTCAAGTGCCACAACCATAATCCTATTTTATTCTTCTGATTTTGAACAAAGAGTAATTGCTAAGCTTTCCTTAATCTTTTGCTGTCACCCTTGGCATATTGGTTGATGTCTTTAATGGTCCGCTCCGAAGATAGTTACTTTTGGACTCTGCTAATGATTTTAACAATACAGTGATTCTGAGAATGATCAAACGTGGACGACGGTAAATGTTTTTTTTTCATCTAAAGTACGCTAATATTTTCGCCAAAAACTACCAAAATAAGTATAATACAGTATCCGATGAAGAGTCCGACTCCGTGCAAGATGTGAATTGATATTTTCTTCTTTAGGTTTGCTGTTAAACGCATGTCTGGAATCTGTTTAAAAGACGAAATAATTAAATATAAATAAGACAGTATAACAGTTTAAGTTCAGGTTCTGCAAGTAAGAATTGTTGAAGAAAATAGAGGAATTTCAAAACGAATTCAAAAATTTAATTAAAACAAACGTGGATGCGCGGGTTGTGTAATGAACAGCGCGTTGTAATGGAAAATCAGAGATCTGAGTTCTAATTCTTCCGAGCTATATCCACTTGCGCTGAAAATTCCTTGAGAAAGGTACGTGTCTACTTGGTCGACCCCCAAATGTGAGCTAAATAGAAGAATATATAAATTTCTTCAGCCTTGGTTGAAACTCGTCTAGGAGATGGACAAATTTGAATTCAAAACCATATAAGAGACACATAGAACAAGACGCAAGGGTCAATGCTGCTGATTATAAGGAAGTATTGTAGAAAGTTGTGAGCCCTTTGTATAAATACTGTGAGCAAATAGCTTTCCCATACCAACGAGACATAAGTCCATGATGATACAAAATTAATAAGTTACGTAAGTTAAATATGATACAAGAATTGTTGAGTTACAATCCCCACGAGCATGTCACCCAAAATATGCGGCCTCCTCGCTCACCAGACCTGAAACCCAATGGACTACTACGTATGAGCCGTAATCATTAAGGAAGTCAGTTAACGCTCCTATAAGGCTACAAAACCTCTGAAGTCTGTGATATCTAGCACAATGTCCAAAATAGATAAAGATCATCTGATTTGGGCGTGTCAACATTCAAGACCTCTTAATGAAGCAGGCATCGCTGCTAACGACGGATTCCTTAAGTAGATGCCTCAAGAAAAGTCTCAAGATTATTTATGCAAATTCATTCCCAAATAAACCGTTTCTTTCATGACTTATACGTCTTTTAATAAATTCATGTAAATATCCTCAAAGAACTAAGCAATTGTTTACATTATATACACACATACAAAATCACACGCAGTCAGAGTTGGTGCAAGAGTCTACGATACCCCCGAATCTATGATACGACTTCCCCACTCTACTACATCTCGATTTTCATAAGGTTGCATTCATATCAAATAAAAATTTTATTGTAACCTAATTATGTACAATAATGGATCATATCTTTTAGGGCCCCAACAATGTGCTCTGTGGAGAAGTTGTTTTTCCTTCAGGGAAAGCGCTATGAAATTCATGATACACACACAAGCATGAACATCTATTCCTGCTTCAATCAAAGGAAGAAAAAATTAACTTCAGTGAGATTTTTTTTTTTTGTATACAAACCATCTTTTAATTTCCCAACTTTTAAATTGATTAATCAACTTTTTTTTCTAAAACCTTTTCAAAAAACCCACTAAATCATCTATACAGTTTTATTCCCTTTTTAGTGAAAATTTGAGTGGGAAAAAACAAATTATTTCGTGATTCTAACTTGGAAGGTTTTAAAAATTATTTTAATATAAAATACTACATCGTCAAAAAAAATTTCAATTTTTCTCACCAGCAAGTTTTCCTTTTTAAATTAACCTTACAGTTAAAAGGAATAACCCCGCTATATTTAAAATTTATTTTAATTATAGAAATTGTTAAAAAATTTTTTTTCATTTCAAAACGTTTAAATTTAAACCCGTAATAATTTCCCCACTTTGAACATTCTTTAAAGGGAAAAATTTACTTCAAAGAACATTTCCCAAATTTACTAAAAACAAATAAAATGTCAACCAATCTCAAATTCACTGAATTACTGTTTTCCAATTTTAATACAAAATTCCATTTACTTAGCAAATTTTCTTCTTGAATTTATTTTTCTTTTTACTTATTCTTGTTAGCACATTTGTAAAAAAAAAATAGTATGGGTTAATCAACCAACAATCCATACAAGATATTTTTTTGATTTTAAGGTTTTTCCCAACCCAGATTACTTAGATGAGATGTAAAACTTGGCTAGTTGTAACTGACAGTTTGGGGTATTTTTTTATTACAG